TGCCTGTCAATGCCCATCAGTGCCACCTAACAGTGGAAGTCAGTGCCACCTAACAGTGCCGACTATCAGTGCCAGTCAGTGCCACCTATCAGTGCCAGTCAGTGCCTCCTATCAGTGCCACCTATCAGTGCCATATATGAGTTCTGCCTTTCAGTGCCCATCAGTGATGCTTGTCAATGCCCATCAGTGCCACCTACCAGTGCCTCCTCATCAGTGCCACCTATCAGTGCTCATCAGGGCAGCCTATCAGTGCCCATCACTGCAGCCTCATTAGCGCACATCAGTGAAAGAGAAAAATCACTTATTTACAAAATTTTATAACAAAAACTAAGAAAAAACATTTTTTTTTCAAAATTTTTCAGTTGTTTTTGGTTTGTTTAACAAAAAATAAAAATCCCAGAGGTGATTAAATACTACCAAAAGAAAGCTCTATCTGTCTAAAAAAATGATAACAATTTCATATGGGTACAGTGTTGCATGACTGCGCAATTGTCATTCAAAGTGCGACAGCGCTGAAAGCTGAAAATTGGCCTGGACAGGAAGGGGGTATAAGTGCCCGGTAGGCAAGTGGTTAAAGCACAACTACAGCCATGTAAGAAGAATATCTGTGTAACCCATTGAAATGGTGTTAGATGCAGTACTTTAAAATGGACATTAGATGGCAGAGGCCTGCCGTTCAAGGTGATTCACATTTGGCAGAGCAGCCCTCTGGAACTTGTATGCAGAACAGCAGGACTTGAATGGTGAGCAGGGCGCCCAGGGACTGCATTTCCCAGGGAAGGTAGCATGTGGGTGGGAATACATAAATAACAAAGCCTGGGAGACTGGTGAGGAGAGTGATGAGAGAAGCTGGGAGAGGAGGAAGTGTGTTGATGACTGAAGTGCTGAACTAGGCTGCAGAGCCAGAATTGGAGAGGGAAAAGGAGCAGAAAGAGCCTACTGATCGCCCATATTGCCACGCAGCCCAGCGAGCCAATCAGTTAGCAGGAGATCAGACGGGACGTGGATTCAGAACTGGAGAGTCTGTGTGGGGCCCCCATTTTCCAGAAAAGACAGACGATATAATCTGCTGGACCACATTGATTGGGTGAGAGAGTCCCATGTATCCACAATGAACACTGACAGTTTCTTCACCTCAACTTTCTACTTGCACATAGTTGTGAACATTATATATAGCTGCCCCAGGTTGCATCCTAGTACTCCTAGCCGCCACTGTTGGGATACATCTGCATTACAGTCGCATCATCCAAGCTGACCACAGGACATATAGTTGCAGGCCAGAGTACAGCAGTGCCAACTGAAACGTCCCCTTTTCCAGCAGAGAGGGACTCCTGCAACTGTTGCCTTTGGCCTTTGACATCGAGAGAGAGTTGCCGTTGCCCATAGATACTTATGCCAATTGTCACCCTCCACTATTTCAAGTCTGCCTCAGGGGCGGACTGACAACTCATGGGGCCCCCGGGCAATAGGGGATCATGGGGGCCCTGTGTCCTTGCCCAAACTCAAAAAAGCCTATGAAAAAGGTACCAGGGGCATCTCATGGGGCCCCATACTGACCCCGGGCCCTCAGGCAGTTCCCAAGTTTCCTAATGGTCAGTCCACCCCTGGTCTACCCTTTACCTAGTACTTAAAAGGGGACCCTGCACTAATTTACTACCAGCAAAAGTGTTAAATCCTTCCTTTTTTTTCCTCATTATTTGTTGTGTTGTAGGTTTGAGGGAACTATTATCTACACCTTAATTCAATTTCATACCAACTGGGCCCAAACAAGTGCACAGAAGACTCGATAGTGTTCTTAAAGGGACATTGATCAATTATAAATGAGAACTTTCTTCACTTCACATTTAATCCCTGTCATCTAGTTCTGAGTTCTGAGGTTCTGAGGACCCACAGTGAGCTTACCTGTTCTAATAGTTGTTCTTGCTCACTGGGGATTCAACAGTCTCCTCAGATTGGAGGCATTGGATTATTTCTGAAAGCAGGCCTTCTAACAGTTATGAGTATTTCACTGTATTGTTGTTACTTTTGCTTAATATTGACAAGAGTGATCATCTATGCTGCATATACCCATGTTATTCTGCTCTTTTTGATCAAGTTACATTCAATGCCAATATAAAACTTTATATTGGTTTATACTATCTTGTGTGTGAGTCCATTTTACAGTTGTCGTTTATTGTGGTCACAAGAGTAGTATATTCGGTGTGGTGTGTAATGTGACCCCCCAATTGGCCCATGTCTACCTAGACTGCTTTGTAGATTGTTCATTGGATGCTTGGTGTCATGTGACTCCTCTTGCCAGCACTATGTCTTCCTACAGTGTGTACTATACTCATTGTGTGCTATGTATCATATCATACCCTCTCCCATTCTACGGAACTCCCTACCCTAATTGGGCTGTCTCTTTGTTTCATTCTAGGCTGTTTATTGGGTGCTTTGTGTCATGTGACACCTCCTCCAGTCCATCATGAATGCTTCTAGACTCATCCATCTTACCAACCTCTCAGTGTCTGCTCCCCCTCTCTGACAATCCCTCCATTGGCTTCCGCTCACCCAATTAAATTAAATAAAAATACTAAAAATAACTTACAAAGCCATCCACAACTCAACCCCCAGCTACATCACTAACCTAGTTTCAAAATACCAATCAAATCATTCTCTTTGTTCCTCCCCAGATCTCCTTCTCTCTAGCTTCCTTGTCACCTACTCCCACGCTCACCTCCAGGACTTCTCCTGAGCTTCTCCCATTCTACGGAACTCCCTACCCTAATCTGTCTGACTATTTCCTACTCTGTCCACTTTTAGGTGATCCCTGAAATTCCTTTTCTTTAGAGAATCCTATCCCGCCTCCACTATCAGCTCATCCCCCACAATTAGTACCTTTTGTATCACTTGACCCTCTCTTTTAGATGATAGCTCTAACAAGCAGGGCCCTTTGATTTCTCCTGTATTGAACTGTATTGTAACTGTACTGTCTGCCTTTACGATGTTAAGCGCTGAGCAAACTGTTGGCATTAAATAAACCCTGTATTATAATAATAATAATAAAAAAAAAAATAATGCGACACCTCTTGCTCGCACCATGTCTACCTACACTGCTTACTAAACTGAACATTGAATGTTTTATGTTGTGTGACACCCCCTGATTGTATCTACGTACACAACAGATTAGACTATCTTTTGGGTGTTCTGTTTCCTGCAACCTCTCACCAGCAGCATGTGTACCTACACTGCTACTAGACTGTTCATTGGGTGCTCTTTGTCTTGTGACACCCACTAATTGGCCCGTCTTTAAATACATTGCTTACTGTAGTGTTCATTGGGTGCTCTGTGTCTTGTGACACTTCCTGATGGACCAGCGTCTACATACACAGCATAGTAACTGTGTATTGGGTGCTCTGTGTCATGTGACATATCTTGCCAGCACCATGTCCACCTACACTGCATATCAGACTGAAGAATTGGTGCTTTGTGTCATGTGACACCCCTTATTTTTCCCATATTAATCTATACTGTATACTAGACTAATCATTGGGTTCTGTGTCATGTAATACCCTGTAATTGGTGCATGTCTACCTAAATTGCATTCTAGACATTCATTGGATGCTCTGTGTCATATGACCATTCTTCACAACACTGCATAATAAACTTAATTAGATGCTCTTGTCATCATCATTTCTACCTATACTGCATACTAGAATGATCATTGGGTGTTTTGTGTCATGTGACACACCCTCCCCCAGTATCATGTCTACCTGCATTGTGTACTATACTGAATATTGGGTACTTTGTGTCATGTGACACCTCTCGCCAGCACCATGTCTACCTACTCTGCATGCTAGACTGACCACTGGGTGCTCTGTTTTATATGACACCTTCTGATTGGACCATGTCTACCTACACTGCTTACTAGACTGATCATTGGTTGCTGCGTGTCTTATGGCACTTTCTGCCTGCACAATGTCTACCTAAACAAACCATACTAGACTGATCACTGGGTGCTCTGCGTCATGTTGCACCTCGCCAGCACCATGTGTGCCTACATTGCATACTAGCCTGATCATTGGGTGCTCTGTATTAGGTGACCCCCCCTAATTGAACTATCTTAACCTATACTGTGTACTAGATTGATCATTGGGGTATTTTGACATGTGACACCCCCTAATTGAGCCATGTCAACCTACACTGTGTACTAGACTGATCATTGGGGGATTTTGACATGTGACACCCCCTAATTGAACTATCTCAACCTTTACTGTGTACTAGACTGATCATTGGGGGATTTTGACATATGACACCCCCTAATTGACCCATGTCAACTTACACTGCTTACTAGACTGATTATCAGGTGCACTGCGTCATGTGACATCTCTTGCTAGCACCATGTCTACCTACACTGCATGCAAGACTGATCATTGGTTCTCTGTCATGTTTTTAAGATGTAAAAAAATCAAACTAAGATAAATAACTTCAGAATTTTTCCCACCATTTAATGTGACATATAATATGTGCAATTCAGTTAAAAACAAACTAAAATCGTTTACCACTACAGAAGATTTTACCTCATCCAGGACTAGGCCATTTTTTGCTATACTGCGCTGCACTACTTTACCTGGTAATTATGCGGTCATGCAACACTGTACCCACATGAAATTTATATTATTTTTTCACATCTCTGGGGTTTTTATTTTTTCTGCTATAAACAAAAAACAGCTAAAATTTAGGGGGGGAAAATTAGTTTTATTCTATATACTTACCTGTTTCTGCTATAAAACATATCCAATTAAAAAAAATCTAATTTCTTCATAAATTTTGACTTAAATGTATTCTGCTACATATATTTGGAAAACAATGGATTGGTTTGATTGGTAACGAGACTGCAATAGTGCAGTGGGCAGTCTGTCACTTACTGACATTGGAGGGAACTGAAAACCTGTCACTGATATCTCCAGTGACATTAATACAGTGGTCAGTGCTAATATAATACACTGTTACTGTACTAACAGGGGCGGACTGACAACTCATGGGGCCCCCGGGAAATAGGGGATCATGGGGCCCCTGTGTCCTTGCCCAAACTCAAAAAAGCTATGAAAAAGGTACCAGGGGCATCTCATGGGGCCCCTACTGACCCGGGCCCTCGGGCAGTGCCCGAGTTTCCAAATGGTCAGTCCGCCCCTGTGTACTAATGACACTCACTGGGAAGGGGTTAACATCTAGGGTGATCAAGAGGTGAATGTTCACCTAAGTGCATTATGTGTAAAGCGGGCTGCTTTTTCCTAATAATCTGTTTGTTTCTTGTCCCTGCTTTGCAGAAATGAAAAACAGAGATCACTCCCTCTGTACAGAGCTGTGTGTTAATTGTCAACACAGAGCTCTGGGCTGTGATTGTACAAAGCCGATCAGCAGGTCTAATAATGGGGTTGTTTAAAACCATATTTACATATATACAAAAAATAAAATAAAAATGAATATATACATAAACAAAAACAAACAAGCTCACAACAACAAATAACAGAAAAGAAAACAGCCTTTTTTTCTGAAAATAACATAAATAGAACTTTATACAAAGAAACATATTTTTATTATCCGCAAACTACTACATTATGAAAAACACAACCCTATCTCCACCTAAACACACCCTCAGGCTGAGAAACGATTAAACATTGAACCCATGCATGCAGCCTTTTTCCAAAAATATGATCTAGAGGACATGAAAGGACAGAAAGGAAAGCCGTATATTAGATATTAGAGTGTAAGCTCCTCTGGTACAGAGACTGATGTGACTGGCCCGTTTTTGTGTACAGTGCTGTGGAATATGTTAGAGCTATAAATAAGGTAAGTATTAGCAGTGTATGACTATGATGTGACAATAGAATGTAAGCTCCTCTAGTGCAGAGACTGGAATGGTATTAGTTTTAATGTATAATAATAACAGTGTGTCTATGGTGAGAACGTTAGAGTGTCAGCTCCTCTGGTGCAAAAACTTGTGTGAACAACTTTGCATGCGGTGTACAACACTGCGGTATATGTCAGAGCTTTATAAAGTTATAGCTACAATACAGTGTGACTGTGGTGGGGCTGTTAGAGCACTTCTGGTACAGAGACAGATGGGGATGGCTCAGTTATCTCTGTACAGCACTGTGGAATATGTCAGAGCTATATAAATGTATAATAATAATAATGGTGCATCACTGTGGGGGGACATTAGAGTGCAAGTCCTCTGGTACAGAGACTGATAGGACTGGCTCAGTATCCTCTGTACATAAACTATATATATAGCTCCGTCAGAGTGATATAATGTCTAATAATAATGTGTGTTGTAGGACATTAGATTGTAAGCTCCTCTGGTGCAGAGACTGATAGGACTGGCTCAGTATCCTCTGTACAGAAATTATATATATAGCTCTGTCAGAGCGATATAATGTCTTATAATAATGTGTGTGGTAGGACATTAGATTGTAAGCTCCTCTGGTGCAGAGACTGATGTGAATGGTTTAATAATCTCCGTTGAGTGCTTTGGGATGTCAGTTTTTTAAACAGAATAAAAATGTTATTTCACGTTTGCTCATTTTCTCTCTCTGGCAGACAATAGTACACCATTCCCCACCCAGGACCTCCTGAAGAATGCCTGGCTTATGCAAGCAGGGCCTGGACTGTGAACACCTTGAAACAAGATCTCCCTATAGCCCCCTTGCAGCCGGACGTAGAACAGGTAAGAAATCTGTATTATACACTCTGTAACAGAACAGCACCTCAATGCACTAAGGCCACACACAGGCCTTTCACTGTGACACCTTTGTGCACTGCAATGCGTTCTGTTACTGATTTTGTGACACATCCAATTTCTGGACATGTTGGTATATTGACAGTCCATTTTTTTCAGTTGGCTGCCTTTACATAATGCACATGTGTTCATCCACCACAAACATGCAAATGGACCCAACAGCTTCTGCCATAGGTGGATATTAGTGGCCCTTTTATAATACTGAAGCATGTCAGCAGTGACTTCTCTCCTCCAGTGTCTCTTGGCTACTAAACCCACAACCGTAAAATCAGTCTGTATGTATATGCAGTAAAGCATGCTTGTTATACTCACTATGGAACCTAAGGGGTTTTAACTACTTCTGGACTACCTCAGTCTTATTGTGGCATGGCGGCACCGCTGCGCAAGAACACGTACATGTATGTGAAATGGCCTTTCTGGGTAGGGGGCTCTTCAGAGCAAGGAGATAGATAAAACAGTCTCCTTGCTCTGCAGAGATTATAAAACAGCAACAGCACTGCTGCCTGTACAGAGCCCTGTGCTGTTTGTCAACACAGGGCTCTTAATTGTCATAAATTAAGCTGATCAGCCCCCTACCCAGAAAGGCCATTTTACATACATGTACGTGTTCCTGCGCAGCGGTGCTGCCATGCCACAATAAGACTGAGGTGGTCCAGAAGTAGTTAAACTCAGTGATCACAGCAATTTTTAATACCTGTTACAAAGTTGTAAACTCTGAATGCTAAAAATTCTTTTGTAGCTATAAAAACAATTTCCTTTTATTTTTGTAGAGGACTAAGTGGTGGCTGTTCCATGTTTACAGATTATAATGAAATGTAACCTTTCAATCTGCTACAAATGTATCAGCACAGATAGATTTTTATTTTATTTTATAATGCATTTAGCAACCCACAGCCAAAGATATTCCCAATCAATTGCCTTTACATGCAGTATTTTCTGTCAATGTATTTTAATTCATGACGTGCCTTTTGTTGCCTAGAGATCCATTATTCATTTGTGATAGACACACTTTACTATATTCAGTACATAATAAACACAATGCCTATAGTTTTATTTCAGTCATGTACTGAGGAATGTGAATTCAATAAGAGAAATATATGTACAAATTTGTATTTTTTTTTGTGTTTGTTTAAGCGGACAGTGATAAGTCATCAAGCATATTATCTCTTTAATAAAAATATATGAGGGGACTGTCAGTAGCCTTTCAAGGTCTCAAATTCCACCTTCCTGAGCCCAGCCTAGGCTAAGATGATTAGAGCAGGTTTGGGATAATTTGGGGTCCTGAGAAAGACTCAAACTGGGGCCCTTTTGACTGGAAGAAACTCTTTGTCTTCTAAAAATATAAGCCTCTTGCCTTCTTATACTATGTCTTCTACATTCCCTCTTCCTAGACTTGGCCTTTTGGGATAGGGCCAGTTGGTTGTGTCTGTCACCCAAGGGGTCTCCTTTCAGTTAACATGGGAAGTGAGTATGGCTGGCATAGGTGCCAAGCCTGACACACTGATCCCTAACATAGGGAGCACTTATTCCTGACTACTTCACCCTGCAGGCTGTGCTGTGCAATGACATAGTTCTGATCTTTACGCCCTGACCAGTGCATTGTATTGACTATGTTGTACTTGAATAATCCAGAACATTGCATTTTATTACATTCCTGATCTCTGCACCCAACACAATATACTGTTGCATATGGCTGCTGGGTTTTCTGTTTTCTGTTGTATTTTACACAATAATCACAAAGTCCAGACTGCTACACACTATAAGCTACATAGTCATGAATTCTGCCCAGTATGATATGCTGTATGTTACACAGTCCTGAACTCTGCACTCCATGTGTTATGTTATTCATTATATACTCCTGATTCTGAATGAACCCTTTGCACACTGATATACATCCTACCTAGCAAACGTTGCATTATAACAGGGCTTTTTGGTTGATATACATTGCAAATACATGTTTAAGCTGGCCAACTGCATCAAAGTAATCTCCCTCTGGCCAGTCCCTACTCTACTCTGCAAATTGCAAATTACTTTCTTGCTTATAGCATACTTCAGTGGACATGTTGCCAATATGGGGCAAATAGACACAAATTGTAGGAGAGCTACAGGTTCAGGTCTGGTCACTGACCTGCACTATCCAATAGAAATGACCTATACCTATGTTAAAATCCAGAAAGTGTATACCTTTATAATTGTATAACCTATCAGGTGCTAAAGGGGTATGACACAAAAAATTTTGAATGAACCTTTTGCAAGCTTCTATACACCCTTTCTAGCAAATTACATAAAAAGATGGATTTTTAGTTCACATGCTTTGCAATACATGTTTAAGCTGGCAAACTGTGTCAAAGTAATCCCTCTTTGGCCAGTCCTTACTCTGCTCTGCAAAATGCAGAATATCTTCTTGCTTCAGTGGATATAGTGCTAATGTGGGGCAAAGGGACACAAGTCTTGAATGCTAAATAAAGGGGGGTGGACTCATGCGCTGCCAAAGATATAAAAATAAAGAAGCTGCCGACACCTAACTAGACTAGAATTGATGAAACATAAGTAGATAAGGTGGTGTAGCACTAATACCATGTGATAATAGACATAAAAAATATAAATAAAGGACTCAATATTAAATGGGTGAATACATAAATTATGTGAATAAATATATGTGTACAGTGGTGCACCTAATGTGTAGCCCAGAAATATGCCATCAAAAATGTGACTAAATATAAGTGATAAGTGATATTAGTGAAACAAATATTAACCAAATGTAAATACATGTGATCATAAATGAACAAATTTCATAAATCTTATAGCCTCAAGTCCCAAAAGTATAAATGTGATGAATCAATCTTTGACCGTGAAAATAAATATGTGCTCAAGTGCATCAGACCATCATCTGTCACCGTCTAGCGTGCACGCTTACCTCCATTCTTTCACCCTCAAGAAGTCGCATGTTATTGTGACGCAACATGTCAGACTAGAGCGTGGTGACATAATTGCGCACAGACGGCAGCCATCTTTGGACTCCCTATACAAGCACCCTGACTGTGGGTTATACAGTTCATGCCTCATGGGTCTAGGACCCGATTTTAATGTGTGAGTAGGTCTTTGGTATTTGTGTATGGTATAATAAACTTTACTCTATCATGCTATGGTGGCTTTTTCTCTGATTCCCTGTTTATGAGCCATTGGGAGAGTGGAGGAGTTTTGTAAAGGTGCCATACCATTGTAATGTTTGATTAACCATGGGCTGTGTGGAAGCTGATCCTGTGTCCATCCAGAGAGTGAGATTCATCCCACCTGGGACTAACTGGTGAATTGTTATGCCTTATGACTCCTTGAGGGTCAAAGAATGGAGGTAAGCGTGCATGCTAGACGGTGACAGATGGTCTGATGCACTTGAGCACGTATTAATTTTCACAGTCGAAGATTGATTCATCACAATTATACATTTGGGACTTTTGCTATATGATTTATGAATATTGTTCATTTATGAGCACATGTATTTATATTTGGTTAATATTTGTTTCGCTTATATCACCTATAAATTTAGTCACATTCTTGATGGCATGTTTTTTGGGCTACACATTAGTTGTACCACTGTACACCTATATATTTATTCATATAATTTATGTATTCACCCATTTAATATTGAGTCCTTTAAGTCTTGAATGCTGCACTCTATGCTAAGTTGCACAAATACTATTAGTCCCCAATTTTTTTAATGATGGTCTTCTTTGAAGCCAGAGCAGAAAGGTTTCTTTCTCACAGAGATAAAACCATAATTTGCTGGTACAACAAGCATGGCATAATGTGATTGTGAATGGGTCATGCACCACGGGCTATGCATGCTGCAATGTTAGTTTCCTCAGATTGGAAACAATATCTGCATTTTAGGTGTTGTTATTAGTAGATATACACTTTGCAGCTCTAGCTGAGAGGTGGTTTTTTCAGCGATGATGACATTGTCTTTGGCTATTATTGAGATGTTGGTCCACTTCTGTTGTAGAGGTGAAGTGACTGCACAGCTCAGTGTGAAAACTGATATAATGGTACGATCTTCTTGAATCACTTTAATGATGAGCGTACATTGTGGCTCTATAGACACAATGGACTTGTCTGGTTGTTGGAAGGTTGTTTCTTTCCTGCAGAAGACAAGAGAACAAATGTTCAGAACTGTTCCTCTATGGACATATCTGTAAAGATATTGACTTATCATACTTTGTACTAATTATATATTGTGAATAATGTACCCCCCTGCTATAAAATTCAAGAATATTAGAGGCCGCACACAAGTCATTATAAAACAGAAGGCTGGGTGTATGTTACAGAACTATGAGAATATTTTCCTATAAGAGTAAACTGATGCATTATTCCTCATAATACACAAGATTCCACCTGGAACAATGCTGCCTGTTCTGCATTGCCATTGCTTTGTTGATGGAAAGCTGTGCTGAGACAGTTCCGTAGGTCATGATTGCTGATCTCTCCTTTTAAAAATATCAATTGATGGACTGAAATATTGGCCCTATGACATGAACAGCAGGCCATCAGCGTTGTCAGAAGGTCAGCAATGATATTCTCACAGTTCAGATTTTTCATCCTTGTAGGCAGAAGTACAAGTGTAATAATACAACTTTCACATGTGATATGATAATGTTATTGCTTACATATCAGCACTGTGATACTGAAATTCTCCAAACCAAAACAATACGCATTTTTGTTGGTCTGAAATATCTACTTACCTTCTTTGTGCAAATCACTTGCTTCCCTTACGCCGCCTGGCCAGATATTAATCCAGATATATAGGAGAGATATTGGCCAGCTGCAAAAACAGTAAGCTGCTGGTAAACATCCTGAAGAGTCAGCCTTCCAATCCAAGGTTCTCATACAGTTCAATGCCCAGCATGTAAAAATCATCTGTTTTCCATTATCAACTGTCCACTTTGTCCATTATCCACTTTGTCAACTGTTTTCCATCTTCTTTTTTCCATTTTCCGCTTTCATCAACTGCTTTCCATCATCCATTTTCCGTTATCTGCTTTTGCCCACTGCTTTCTGTCATCCACTTTGTCATCCACTTTCTGCCATTAGAGCTCCCCAGAAACCAAAAGAGAATAAAGCCAGAAAGATCTCTATTAGGACTGGTTTTGGTATTTGCATTAAAGCGTGGCCTGAATTTAGTCCTGCCCACCAGCATCAGGTGTGAGGTGAAAGAGTCCTTAGTATAGGAGGGGCAATGGCCATTTTGTTGGAGATCTGAATCCTGAAGGACTGGGATTGTCCACTTTAAAGCCGTATTTTAGCCATCAGACTCTGAGGAAGAAGGTGTGCTGCGAGCAGGGGTGCAGAGCAGAGAGATATGAAGGTTCTAGGGGCAAACAGCAGCTTGATAGAGTGAAGCTGCTGTTTCCCAAGATGAAGGCCAGTTTACCGCAGCAAGAAGAATGGCGCTCTCCTCCTGGAAGTTTTGGTAAACAGTAGCTTGATGGTGTGGAGCTGCTGTTTGCCAAGATGAAGACCAGTTTTCCGCTTTAGAACGAACGTCGCTCACCTCCTGGAAGACTGAGTGGACAGCAGCTTGATAGCATGGAGCTGCTGTTTCCCAAGATGAAGGGCAGTTTATCGCAGCAGGCAAAATGGCACTCTCCTCCTGGAAGAGTTAATAGACAGCAGCTTGATGGTGTAGAACTGCTGTTTCCCAAGACGAAAGCCAGTTTTCTGCAGGAGAGAGAACGTCTCTCACCTCCTGGAAGACTGGGTAGACAACAGCTTGGTAGCATGGAGCTGCGGTTTCCCAAGGTGAAGACAAATTTACAGCAGCAGGAAGAATGACGCTCTCTTCCTGGAAGACTGAGTAGACAGCAGCTTGATAGTGTGAAGCTGCTGTT